ATTCAGTTATTAACACATGTGCCTTAAAGATTTCCAGTAGAAAGCATGTTATTTACTCTGTTCTAGTGATTGTGGATGTTAAATGTCTTTATTCTTTAAAAAGTTCCAATGATTCAGACTGGCCATTGCACACAATCTACCTATTTTGGTGAATTCCCAGTCCCTGAAGACACTTATTACTCTCAATATTGACTAATTTTAATATAAGTCAGCTTTAGTCCTTGCCTAAGGGGAGTACACCTTGCAAACATTTTCTGGAATCCCTGCTGACCAAAGAGTAGAAGTTAATTCCAAACGGGGTCTATTTCAGTTCCAAGAATGGTTGGTCCTTCCTACCCACCAGCTCTCCCTGACCATACCTCCCCTAACAGGATACCACCTATGGCCTTAAAATAGCCAGAATGTTACCATCTGTGCTCCTTGGTAGAGTTGTTGTAACAGAATGTCACTAAACTGGAATTTATTGTCTATTTATTGTTTATTACCAAATTTCTACGGCTAGGTGCCTGAAATTAAGGTGCTGGCAAGGTTGGTTCATTCTGAGGGCTGTGAGATAAAAGTGCTGTTCCAGGCCTCGCTCTTTGGCTTGTAGATCTCCAAGCCTCTCCTTTATGTAAGAACCCCAATAATATGACATCATTTTAATTTAATTAAAATATCTCTGTAAAGACTTTCTCTCCAAATAAGGTCCCATTCTGAGGGAGTGACATTTAGGACTTCAACACATGAAATTTGAACAGGCACAATTCAACCCATGACAGCATTTATAGTAAAGGCCACTCAATTGTTCAGGAATCTAGACTCAAACATCTAGACCCAGAATAAAATCAGATCAATCCTTTATTCCCTCTTCCTTTCTGGATAGATGAGTCTCCGTATGGCAATTCGGACCTGACCTGTCATTCTAAGAGTTACTGGAATTCCATTACCTCCTGGCCAGCATGCCTCTTACACTCTTTAAAAAGAAGTGTGCTCTGCTTAACAAATCAGGGCCAGACATCCAGAGATAACTAACTGAGCGCTACTAAATTGTCAGGGGTATGACTTAAGCATAAGGAAGACTTTTAAAAAGGTGAGAGATTATTATTAAAACACTCAATTTCAAGTTTAACTACAACCTCCAATAGCACCAGACCTGAAATCAAAATTCCATGATAATCGCCAATAATGATGAAAATTATAGCAACCATTTACTGAATAGTTACTATGTGCCTGGAACAGGTACTTTATATGTATGGTTTAATCTCATCCTCACTATCACTATATGAGGTTTATGCTTTTAATTAAATTTGATGTGTAATAAAAGGCATACCACAAAAGCTGTCACATAGTGTGTGTTTAATAACCAAAGCTTACCTACATGCCTAATGAATGGATGAGAAGACTGAGCTTCAGAGACACTCAGGATTGCACTAATAGTGAAAGACGCAGCCTATATCTGGATTCAGGTATGTTAAATTCCACAGACTGAGATCATATCTACTAAACCATGCTGTGCCCATTCCTACCCCTTGTCACAGAAGCCTAAGGTTATATAAAACCCAAGATATCTGCTGCATCCTGAGTCACTGGAGCCTTTTATGGATGCCCTTATGTAGTCTTCAGAGCTTGAAAATGACTATTTTAAGATCCAACTAGGCCTTTAGAAATGTGATTTATGAGCTCCCTCTTTTTCCAGGACCCCTTCCGCCCCCCACACCCAGATAGTGTCAGAAACTTTATGAGCACCAGGAATGTCCCAGCTGTGCTTTATGAACCCAGATGGCTGAGAACTTCCTGCTTCCCAGACCTAAGTGACAGACTGGTGAAAGAAAGCCATCCCGTGGCCCAGAGAAGCCCAAGTAGTTTTCTCAACTGACTCTATCCCACACTTTCTGGCTTCCAGCAGTCCTGGGGGCTACAGACCCCAGCTCTGTGTTTGATCCACACAAGGATAGAGCTGAGCTCAAGAACTTACCTGAGCTCAAGAACTCAGAGTCAGCATGTTCCTGGGGTCTACAAAGTCAGCCTATTTGGTGTTTCTTCAGGTTCTTCAGGTTCTAAGCAGACCCTCTTCAGTCAGGAAGGTGGGAGCATAATGTGACCTTGCCACTACCACCACTGTCTCCTACTACTCTTGTAGTGGAGGGGACACTGTGGCCAGCCCAGCAAAATATGGAAAATTTTAAGAGATGCATGCTTTTTAACTTGACTTCAACTGGTGAATGTGCCAGATTCCCAGATAAATGAAAGTTGGTGAATTGAGGAAGAGCTCTCTATTTGCTTAGTTTCTAAATCAACTGTTCTCTTTGAAGTAACATTAAGGCTACCATTTCCTTTCCTTAATTTCTGCACCAGAACTATATAGTGTGTCCAAAAATATGCAAAGTACTTTTACATATGCCATCTTATGTGACACAACGACTCTATGAATCCACTCTATGTCATTGGCTCCTGTAAATACACAGAAAACAATATTCAGGATGATTCAATGGATTCCCAAATCCCTCTGCTAGGGGATCGCAAATGAAGATAGGCATTAATGGATATTTTTTTTATTCTTCTGTTTTCTTTCCATTACAACCCATTGCATCGCTGATTCTCAACACTCCTTTTCAACTCCAGTGTCTCTGATTATATTACATAAATCTTGATCAACTCAACTCGATTTTTAATCTTGTTTGACATTCCTGAATCAGTGTTCAGAAATTCATTTCTTCAACAAGCGCTTTTGGGATGCATATTGGTGTCACATTTTGAGCTGAGTGGGGGCATAAAAATGGGGGAGCCAGACATGAAGGAGCCATCCTTTCATGCAGTTTAGAGTCTAGTATTACTGCCATAACCAGTCCAGAAAGTTCTGAAGATACCAAAAGCATTGCACCAAAGAGGATGTGGTTCAACCATACCCAAACACAGGGAACAAAGGGCCTCTCATAAGGAACCTGGAGTTTAATTCCTGAAAATGTCCATCAACAAGAGTCCTGAGTGCTTGGAGGCATGATTCTAGACTAAAATGAACCATCTGAAAAGGGATCACCTAGCTAGCTATCTGTCTCCAAGAGTTGAGTAAGCTCATGAAAACATTTTTATCTTACCTTTTTACCATGTGAAATTCTCAGACTGTGCCAGACATAAGAGCTTCTGGAGTCTATGTTTTCGTAACAACTATTCATAAGAACAGGAAGAGCCAGAGTCAGTCTGACTAATGCAGCTAAATCATCATCTACACTGGGGAACAGGCCCCAGGCCATTAATGTCTGGAGCCTTGGTCTAGATCCCATAGCTCTAAATTTCACAGGGTCTCCATATTATCATTTTTTTTTAATGTTTTATTTATTTCTAGGAGAGAGAGAGAGAGAGCACGATCAGGGGAGGGTCAGAGAGAGAGGGAGTCACAGACTGAAACAGGCTCCAGGCTCTGAGCTGGCAGTCAGCACAGAGCCCGACGCGGGGCTCGAACCCACGAACCGCGAGATCATGACCTGAGCGAAAGTCGGACGCTTAACCGACTAAGCCACACAGGCGCCCCTCCATATTATCATTTTTAATCTGGGAGCTGTACTAACCTGTCAAAAATGATTGTTAGGAAGATTCTTTGAGAAAATATAGTCAAATACACTGTGAAAACTCTTATATAATCCCTCCTGGAGTCTCTGTCTTGAGATTTTCTTAAGCTCAAAAGAGGTACCATTTTTAGAGTGGTAAGGAAGTTTCTGCCATCTGGTTTGAAGAATGAAATTTGCCTTTGCAAGAGTTTATCATTCTTGGAGGGGGCTCATCAGCGTATTTAGTTTTGCAGATGTTAGGTGAGCATTAGTTTATTTGTTTTTCTGAGAAAGACCTGAATAAATCACTCTAGGCTATTGTCCAAGGATTGAACTGGCTTCAGTTGCATTTTGCTACACAGGCTCAAATAACAACATCCAGATTTAATTTCTTTGCATCATTTAGCTCCACCATCTTCTTGGGTTATCCTCAGTCTCCAGCTTGTCTCCCTCCTGATAAAAAATGTCTATAGCAACTCCAAGCCCCACATGGTTGAATCCAGGGTTGGACAGAAAACATTTATTTCCAGAGACTCCAGAAAACATATCCTCAGAGCTTAATGGCTCAGCTTAGATTGTGTGCCCATCTTTGAAGCAATTGCAGAGGGGAGGGATAATTAGCTCATGCCCAAGACTCTGGAGATGGAGCCAATCATTCCCAACCACAAAACTAGTGGGAATAATGGCTTTCCGGGGGAAATTTACCAAAATAAGAGAGATTAAACACTAGACCACAAGTGATAGATTTCCACTTAATTGGGGAAAGAGGGATCCCTATGCATATCATTTTAATACAAAGTTGATTATGATGGGCCAGGTAAAGGTGTGGGCAAAGGGTAGGAGGGCATAGAGCAGGGAGCAGAGAGAGCCTGATTCTGAGAAGGATCCAGGAATTTCACTTTGATCTGAGCCCTAGTCTTGATTCTGCTGTGAGCACAGTAGAAGTTGGCCTCATCTCATCTTTAGGAGACCTGGGTTCCAGCTTCTTCTCCACTACCACCCTGTCATGTCATATATACCAATGTAGTTCTCCTCCACAGAGGTTCCTCTTCTACCAAATTATTTAACTAACTAATTAATTAATTAAAATATAGCTAGAAACTCTTAAGCCTCTCCAGTTGTAACTTTGTAGGATTCTTACTGTGGCCTTCATTGCTGGCATCCTCCTCTTTTGCCCTCAGGTGCCCAGATACCCATGCATCCCTTACACTGTGATGGCTCATCTGGTCCTGCCCTCTCTGGGTGCTTTGCTGAGTAATGAAAGGTATGGGATTGTTATTTGTATTTTGACAGAAGCCTTCTAAAACTTGTGCTTTAAGACAACAGATTCCTTAGAGTAATGGAAATTTGAGTAATTTGATTTTAATGAAGTGGGTGGGACATAGGGCCTTTCTGAGATCTGAGACCATCTATGAACTTGGCTGCCTTTACATACAGCTAGCAGTAGAATAATTAGGAAAACCAGACTTGGAGAAGAAAGCTTTCAGACTTTAATATTTATATAACATAGAGGGCAACAAACATGTTAAAGAATTTTTTATACAAGCATTTGTAATTCCTCTTTGACCTAGGAGCTCTGAGTTACTGCTAAGGTCATTTCCCTGAAGCAAGCATGGAGCAATTGTGAATTATGAGGTTGTGCTTCAACAGTGACACGTTGTCTCATGTGGCTCAGAGAGAGCATGAAGGAATTGCCCTATGGAAAGAACTGATGTCTCTGGTAAATAGCCCTCAAGAGCTGATGGCTCATTTTCCAACAGCCATCTGAGTGAGCTTCAAAAAGGATCTTCCTCCAGTAGAGCCTTAAAATAAGACCACAGATCTGGTTAACACCTGTAAGACCATGAGCCAGAAACCCTCAGCTAAGTCATATCTGGCTTCTAGACTTGAAAAACTGATAGGAGAATAACTGTCTTTTATTTTAAACCACTAACTTTTTGGGTAATTTGTTATACAATAATAGAAAACTCATACAATAAGTAATCAAAGATGCCTTTCAGAATCCTTTATTTAAAAGAAAAAACCACCTTTTCCTTCTTGCTGTATATCTGTCCCTGACTCTACAAATCATCTCTGGACATTTGTGATTCTTTAAAAGTCTACTATTTTTCAGGCAATATGCTGGTCTAGAGAATTAAGCTCAGGATTTGATAATTTCCATGAAATGTGCTCTTTCCAAGAAATTGTATAGGTATCCATATCTCAAAAAGTTTTTTTTTTTTTTTCTCATTAAAAATGTAGTCCTGGGTGCCTGGGTGGCTCAGTCAGTTACGCATCCAACTTTGGCTCAGATCATGATATCATAGTTCATGGGTTCAAATCCTGGAGCGTGCTTCAGATTCTGCATCTCTCTCTCTCTCTGCTCCTCCCTTGCTTGCGGTCTGCCTGTCTCTCTCTCTCTCAAAAGTAAACAAACATTTCAAAAAAATTTTTAATAAAATTCATTTGAAAAATGTAGTCCCTGGGAAATTGTGATAAAACACTTTTATACTTTAACATTTATATTTCTAATATATATATATATATATGTTTTATATATTATACATAAAGCTCCCACAGGATTCTGTTTGTGGGCACCTTAGTTTTAATGAACTTACATTTCATATTAAGAAGTCTGGACTATGAGAAGAGGAACAAAGTCCATTCAAATACCCTCAAACATCTGGTGAGTGAAAACTTTCAAGCCCTGCCAACTCCCAAGAGATCATTTGGGGTCATCAGCTGACATTTTTAACAACCTTTTCACCTATTCATCATGTTCTTCCACAAGCCCCAGCATGAGCATCATGGGTAAGTGGCTTCATTTGCTGAAAAGCAGGGGGTCCATCGCTTTGGAAGGGTCCCCATGGTGACTCTTAACTTTGAAAGGTCACAGCTGCTGCTGGAAGAAGAGAGGCTATTGTCAATGACAGGGACTCTATTAATATTCCATCAAAGTCCTCTAAGGCTTCTCTCTGTGTCTCAATCCTTCATTGGTTTGCTGTTAGACATTATACAACTCACTTCACCCTTCGAATTCCAATGGACTTTTAGTCGAATCAACACAAACTTTTTTTTGTGTATCTGTTTGTTAAGGCAAGGAGAGTTGGGAGAAGGGAGAGACAAAAATGACTAAAACACAGCTGTTGCTACAAGGTCAGAGATTGAACAGAGCTGGATAAATAGGTTCAACAATAGTTTGACATTGACCTCAAGGGCACTGCAGTAGAAAGCTGAAGAACTAGAATTTTAACTTCAGCTGGGCCTCTAGAAATCCCATGTGCATAGGCAACTGACTTCCTTCTCTCAGCCTCGATTTTCTCACCTGTACAGGAAAGAATTTGAGCTGGATCAGGGGTGCTGAAGTAGCAGTAATTCTAGGATGGTCTCCTAAGATTCCCATCACCCAGCATACACGTCCTGTATAATACAGTTCTCATGAATACACATGGGATCTATGTATGTAAGGGATCTTGCTCCCATCAGTAAGTTATATTCTAAGGGAAAAGATTTTTAAAGACATAATTAAGGTCTCAAGTTAGTTGATTTTTCAGTTAATCAAAAGGGAGATAGATGACTTGACTTAATCCAGATGAAAGTCCTTAAAAAAAGAGATCTCGTCTTTCTTCAAAAGATCTTCCTGCACACCCAGAAGAACAGAATTGCTGTGTAATGAGCAAGATTGGCACACAGCCATGTGATGAGGAATCTCTGTGAATCCTTTAGAGCTGACAGTGACCTCCTCCTGACAGCCTGAAAAAAAAATGGCGACTTCAGTCCTATGACTGCAAAGAAATGAATCTGGCCAACAACTACATGAGAGTGAAAGAGCACCTGAGCTCCAGGAAGGCACACAGCCTGGCCAATATTTTGACTGCAACTCTGTGGGACCTTGAGCAGAGAGCCCTGATAAGCCATGGCCAGACTCGACCCACAGAAGCTGTGAGATCATAAATATGTTGTTAGAAGCTGCCAATTTTGCAGTAATTTGTTTCACAGTAAATGGAAAATGAGTACAGATTCTAAATGAGTTCCATCTCACCTGCTAATTCTAACAATTCATAATGTCTCCTAGAGTACGATATTGAAAAGGATTCAAAATCTGCATCTAGATTAAGCTACAAAAAGTGTCATAATTGATTAATAATACCTACCATGGGGTTTATCAGTTTGGAGTCCTCTGATTGTAAGCAATAAAAAATATCACATAAATTGGCTTAGGGAGGGAGAAATAATTGTTAGACCTGGTATGCCCTTCAGAATGGGGAATGGGGAAAGAGACTTGGATTCTTGAAAAGAGACTCCAAGCCCTCAGTGGCAACCCCATGGAGGAAATCACAGCTCACTGGAGAACATTCCTCAGACCACAGCAAAACTGGAAGAGCCTGTACTTTTCCACCAAGTGCCCATCAGTTTCCCACAAATTTAAAGAATCAGAGTAGCAAGGATCTAAGACCCAGGGTGCTCTCTCTGATAATCATGTGATATCATAGAAAGAGCATGGAACTTACAGTCAGTATGACCAGGATTAAAATCTTGGCTCTGCCACTAATTGTGAGATCACAGACGAGGTACCATATTCTTTGGAGCCTCTCATCTATAAAAGTGGGGATAATGACACCCACCCACAAGTTCTTGTGTGATTGAGTGAGATAATAGCACACATGGCGGGGCGCCTGGGTGGCTTAGTCGGTTAAGCGTCCGACTTTCACTTAGGTCATGATCTCGCAGTTCGTGGGTTCGAGCCCCGTGTAGGGCTCTGTGCTGACTGCCAGCTCAGAGCCTGAAGCCTGTTTCAGTCTGTGACTCGCTCTCTCTCTGACCCTCCCCTGCTCACGCTGTCTCTCTCTCTCTCTCCTAGAAATAAATAAAACATTAAAAAAAAAAAACCAGCACATATGGCAATACCTAACAGACACCTAGTAATGAACAGAAATAACAAAGGTTGAGACTGCTCTGTGGCATGGAACATGCACTGGTGTGCTGGACCAGGAGCCACAAGTCCTATGCAGTCAGCAGGGTGATGTAGATGACAGTTAGGACCCTGGCATTTGGACCAGGGTGGCTGCCTTGGTTAGAATCTCAGCTCCACCATTTACTAACTGTGTGTGTGTGTGTGGGGGGGGTATTTGAATTTTATATGTTACATGAATTTCAAAGTTACTTGAACATTCCATGTCTCAGTTTTTCTCTTTGTAAAATCAAGATAATAATAATAGTCCCTAATTCATAGTGCTATCGTGAGAGTAGAATGAGTTCAACAGATGTAAAACACTCAGAACAGTGTCTGACACATTCACACTCAAAAAATGTTAGCGATTATCACTAGTATTCATCCATCCAACATGCATTTGTTGTTCCAAGGTTGGTTAGGTGCTAGAATGTATATGGTCTGCACAAATGTATATGGTCTGCTCTATGGAGGATCTCAACATAAACAGATAAACAGATTTTTTAAAATTACAAAATGAAATCATAATCACAGCAACAGAAGACTTGAAATACTATAGGAAACCAGAAGAGGGAGCCTAACATTGGAAGAAGGAGAGAAGTCTTCCCAAAAAAGGGAATATTGTAACCTTACCTTACTTTAATAAGCCATGTAAACAGGAAAGCCAAAGAGAATGGGGGAGGGAGACAAAGCAGCTGAAAAATTAAAAACATCCATACCTTAGAAACATCATGCCGAATGAAAGAAAATAAGAATGAGATGCCGAGTGAAAGAAAATAAGAATGAGATTCATAACACTATACAATTTCTGAAATACAAAGACTGGCAGACAAAATGACAACCTAAATTTTGCAAAAGCACATACAAAAAATCAAAAATTCGCATGAAATATACTGAACGGGAGTGGAGAGAAGAAAATATAAAAGCATAAATAAAATTTAAAGAGAAAGAAAGCAAGATTATGAACACCCAATGGTAATGAATTATCATCAGCTGGGGGTGGGGGAGCAAAATATGAAGAAATTTGCCATGAATATTGCATCTGAAATTCTGGAAGGGTCAGATCACTGATGGTAAAATAAGGCACCACAGTGTTTGATCTGAGTTCTCGAAGGTAATGTTATGAGCAGTGCACACGCATGCACAGACACAAAAATTTAAATGTGAAGATGAGTACAGGCCCACTTGGGCCATCAGGACAGGGGTGCTTCAGGCCTCCGCCAGCCCACCCAGCCTGCTTATGCAATTATAAACTGGTGCCCCTTCCCCTGGACAAACTGGGTAGTAACAGAGCACACAGGTCAGCAAGAAGAGTGGAAGCTGGATGTTGGCACCACGAATGCCCTCAGCAGGGCACCCTGGTGCAGGATGCAGCTGTACAGCCCTACTAGAGGGTACTGAAGATCCAGCTTCCAGAAAATACTGAGCAGCCCTAAACCACACACAACACTAAAAAGCAAAGGCACAGAAGGTGCAGATGGCAAGAGCACCCTCTTCTGGCAAATCTGGGAGCACTGAGCCTCTGAGTGGGAAAGTTGCTAACCTCAGCCTCCCACATGAGAGCATTTCCTGCACTTGGGAAAGACTGTCTCTTGCAAAGGGAGATAACATCTCATCATCTTCAAATGGAATGTCTACAGTTCTTTTCTAGGAATGCCCAGGTTAGCACATGACTTTTTAAGTTCAAATCATTTTCCCTCTGGCCAAGATAATTTAACCCAAACACTGCCTTTCTTTCTCTGGCCTAGGATCTTTATGGAGAAGTTATACCCACATTCTAAACTGAAGACTGGGTGGATGTTAACATGTGGCAAAGGGAGAAGAGGGTAATGAAAGATGAGATATGGAAGAGTTAAAGGAATAAACAGCCTGAAGTGGTAAAGAACAAATCCTAATCAAAGTGGTTTCTTTACTTAATATAAAAAATTAAAAAATGAAAAGGACTTTTACATCCATAAGTTAGTGGGATCTTCACAACAATCCTGTAGAATCAATATTAAAATCATGAGTAGTGCTGGAGGAGGAAGAAGGGATATCATGGGGGGGGGGGCGAGGGGGGGAGGGTTCAAGTCTCCAGGTAGGGAGGCCAAGGCCGGCTCCTTACCAGAGGAGAAAGCATTTTTAACTGTAGAAGGACATAGCATGGTAGTCGGATTGCAGACTTTGCAGACAAATGGATCTGGATTGCAGCCAGCTAGAGGGGATTTGAAAAGTCCATTAGCCATTCTAAGCTTATTTTCTCATTTGCAAAAGGGGATGTAATAATGCCACATCGTAGGGTTACTATGAGGGATAAATGTTTACAAAGTACTTAACAAAATGCCTACCACATAGTAACCATTCAATAAATAGAAGCTACTCTTCATTCATGTATTCAATTAATAATACTGATGCCTAATTGGAGGCAAGATGGCGGAGAAGTAAGGAGCTCCGTACATTTCGCCTGCACCCATCTCTCAAACAGAGAAGGCCTGAAGTCGTAGGACACTGAGCCACAGGAGTTTGGGAAGAGAAAGACACAGAGTACACTGGGAAGGAAACCTCATAAGTGCGTGAGTGCGAACTGGGGAAGATAAAAGCGGGACGGGACCCAGAGATTTGGAGGGAGGGGAGGGACCCCGGCTTGCGTGCAGCTGCGGTGAGTGAGAAACCGGCGAGTGGTGGCGAGCTGCCGCGAGTCCAGGGGAAAGGAAAGCAAAGCTGAGATGGCTCATAGAACCGTCCCTGGAGAAGAGAAAAAACCTCGGATTGTAAAGACAGTGTTTTTTAGCTCTGGCTGGGGTGCTGACTTTAAACTAGGTGCCCTGGTCCCAGAAGGCGCCAGGAAAAACTGAACTGCTGTGCACCCAGCACCACCCATGGCGGCGGCGGCCCCAGTGAACCGGCAGCAACGCCTGCGGAGGCGGTCCCGGCGCCGGGTGAAGCAGCAGCAGCGAGCAACAGCGGCCTGCTGAAGCGGCGGCGGCAGCGGCGACCCGGTGAAGCGGTGCCAGCGCCCTGTAAAGCGGCAGCAGCGCGTGACAGCGGCCCACTGAAACAGTGGCGGAGCGCTGCATCGACGAGGACTCTACGGACCTGAAGTTGCTACGTTCCCCGAATGCACTGGGTTGTATCCCTGCTTGACCCCGGCAGATCTGAGGCTGCGACACTTCCCCCACCCCCCAACTCAACCCCCAGGCAACAGGGAAGCAGCGACCTGCGGGACTATTCAGGGCAGTATAACAAAGCCCGCGGACTGGGACCTGGAAACAGGCGAGGTGTGGGGCATAGAACTCAGCTCACCTTGGCTACATCCTCAGCACAGGGAGATCGGACCGAAGAAGTGAATTGCAACGCTTGGTTGAGAAGGGACTGGGGAGAAGCCATTCTTCTCCCAACAACCACCAAGGAGGGACCTCAGGAAGGCCAGCAGACACAGTGGAGACAAGAACTGCATACACCAAACCACGCCCATCCCCTCCAGATAGCTGTTTTGTTGTTGTTGTAGCTGTTTTTACCTGAGCCTGGGTTTGCGTGTTTATTGGTTTTGTCTGTGCGTTTGTGTACCTGTGTTCCCTCTGTGGTTGGGTTGTCTGTTATCTTTTTCCAGGGCTGCCTCAAGAAATAAGCCAAATTACACATGGTGGAGAGTCCCAAATACCACTACCAGTAGGGAAACAAAATAATCAAATGCTCAACAAAAGAAGCCAAGAGACACCATCCAAAGAACACTTCCTGAACACACAGGCCCTGAAAAGTCAAAAGAGCCCTCTCTAATACAGCAGAACTCGCAGGGGACGTGTGTACAAGAGCTTTTAAAATTAACAAAAGATAGAAGGCTAACCAAAATGATGAAATGGAAGAACTCTCCTCCAAAGAAACTCCAGGAAGAAATGACAGCTAAAGAACTGCTCAAAACAGACAGAAGCAACATAACTGAACAAGAATTTAGAACAATAATCATAAAATTAATTGCCTGGCTTGAAAAAAGCATGGAGGACATCAGAGAAACTATGGCTACAAACAATATGGAGCTTAAAAATAGTTATGGTGAATTAAAAAATGGGATAAATGAGATACATAATAAACTGGAGGCATCCAATGCATGGATTGAAGAGGCAGAAAGGAGAATAAGTGATTTAGAAGACACTATTATAGAAAAAGAAGAAACTGAGGAAAAGAGAGATAAACTGATCCAGGAACATGAAAGAAGAGTTTGAGAGCTCAGCGACACAATCAAACGGAACAATATCCATATCATAGGAATCCCAGAAGAGGAAGAGAGAGGGAAAGGTGCTGAAGGAGTCCTGGAACAAATTATAGCAGAGAATTTCCCCAACATGGAGAGGGAAGTAGACGTTGAAATTCAAGAGGCACAGAGAACTCCCCTCAGACATAACTTGAATTGATCATCTGCACGACATATCATAGTGAAACTGGCGAAATATAAGGACAAAGAGAGAATTTTGAAAGCAGCTTGGGATAAAAGGGCAATAACATACAAAGGGAAACCTATCAGAATGGTGACAGACCTATCGACTGAAACTTGGCAGGACAGAAAGGAATGGCAGGAGATCTTCAATGTGATGAACACAAAAAATATGCAGCCAAGAATCCTCTATCCAGCAACCCTGTCAGTCAGAATAGAAGGAGAGATAAAAGTCTTTCCAAATAAACAAAAATTGAAAGAATTTATCACCACTAAGCCAGCCCTACTAGAAATCCTGAGGGGGACTCTCTGAGGGAAATGTTGCAAGGAATGCAAGATACCAGAGACACCACCACATGCATGAATCCCACAAAGGACACAATGACTCTAAACCCACATATTTCAATAACACTGAATGTAAATGGGCTGAATGCTCCAATCAAAAGACATAGGGTAGCAGAATGGATAAAAAACAAAATCCATCTATTTGCTGTCTACAAGAAACACATTTTAGATTGGAAGATACCTTCAGATTACAAGTAAGGGAATGGAGAAATATATATCATGCTACAGGAAGTCAAAAGAAAGCTGGAGTAGCTATACTTATATCAGACAAGCTGGACTTTAAATTAAAGACAATAACAAGGGATGAAGAAGGGCATTATATAATAATTACAGGGTCTGTCCATCAGGAAGAACTAACAATTATAAATGTCTATGCACCACATATGGAAGCACCTAAATATTTAAAACAATTAATCACAAACAGAAACAATCTTATAGATAGGAATGTGCTAATAGTAGGGGACTTTAATACCCACTTACAGCAATGGATAGATCAACCAGACAGAAAATCACTAAAGCAACAATAGATTTGAATGACACATTGGACCAGATGGATCTGACAGATATATCCAGAACTCTACATCCTGAGGCCAAGGAATTCACTTTCTTCTCAAGTGCACATGGCACATTCTCCAAGATAGATCACATACTGGGACATAAAGCAGCCCTCAATAAATATAAAAGAACTGAGATCATACCATGCACACTTTCAGATCACAATACTTTGAAACTTGAAATCAATCACAGGAAGAAGTCTGGAAAACCTCCAAAAACATGGAGGTTAAAGAAAACCCTACTAAAGAATGAATGGGCCAATCAGGCAATTAGAGAAGAAATTAAAAAATATATGGAAACAAATGAAAATGAAAATACAACAATCCAAACTTTATGGGATGCGGCAAAGGCAGTCATAAGAGGAAAGTACATTGCTCTCCAGGCCTATTTCAAGAAATTAGAAAAAGCGCAAGTGCAAAATCTAACAGGTCACCTAAAGGAACTAGAGGCAGAGCAACAAGAGCACCCCTAACCCAGTAGAAGAAGAGAAATAGTAAAAATCAGAACAGAAATAAAGAACATAGAGACCAAATAAACAATTGAACAGATCAATGAAACCAAGAGTTGGTTTTTTGAGAAAATAAACAAAATTGACAAACCTCTAGCCAGACTTCTCAAAAAGAAAAGACAGAGCACCCAAATAGACAAAATCATGAATGAAAATGGACTTATTACAACCAACCCCTCAGAAATACAAGCAATTGGGGCGCCTGGGTGGCTTAGTCGGTTAAGCG